CCATTGAGCAGCTTGGTCAGTCGTGCCAGGTCCATGTTCATGTGTGGGTGTGTGTGTGTGTATGCAAGCATATGTGTGCATGTATGTATGTATGTATGTGTGTATGTATGTATGTGTGTATGTATGTATGTGTGTGTGTGTGTGAGATCACCATTGAGCAGCTTGGTCAGTCGTGCCAGGTCCATGTTCATGTGCTGGATCAGCTCCAGGTCCGACAGGTCAGACGTGTCCTCCACCTGGGATAACGCCACCAACCTGTGCATGGTGGGAACGGGGAGGGGGGAGGGGGGTAGTTTAGTGTAGTTTAGTTTTGTATTAGATATCTAGTAAGGTTTTATGACGCTCACAACTGCATAAGGTCATACGAGCACAAAGGGGTGGATGTCAACAGAGAAGTCCAAAGGGGGAATCAGGCTTACTCTGTTCACCTCTTTTTTAGTTTAGTTTTCGTAAGAGTTTTACGGCACTTGCAACGCAATAAAGTCATATGAGCGCCTGAAGATTAGAGGTGTTATAAGAGAGAAACAAACATAAAAAAGGAGGAGAGATAAAGACGATAGTTGTTTTGTTTTGTTTTGGGGTTTTTTTTAGAAGAGGCTTTAGGGCACTTACAACTCCATAAGGTCATATGAGCGCCAGAAGATTAGAGGTGTTACAAGAGAGTAACAAACATAAAAAAGAAGCAGGGAAGATAAGGACGATAGATGTTTGACAGGAAAGAAGAAGCAAACCACACCAGAGCACCCGCCAACAGTGCAATCTGTTTGCAAAGTGTAAAACATTCAAACTCACAGAAACACAAAAAAAAGGGAACCACAGCAATCAGCGCAACACTCACTTGGCAGAAATTTTGTTGAAGACTGCGGTGAAATTGTTCAAGCTAAGGGCAAAGAGGACTTCTGAGGCCAGTGTCTTGAGTTGCTGGTTCTCTGTTTGCTGGTTCAGAAACTGAGGGGAAACAAATTAATATAAGCAAATCTTAGACAATCATCAAAGCTGTTTACAGGTTCAGAAACTGACATAAACAAATATATAAACATCTTAGACTATCACCAAAGCTGTATACTGGTTCAGAAACTGACGTAAAGAAATATTATGCAAATCTTAGACAATCATCAAAGCTGTTGGCTGGTTCAGAAACTGGAGGGAAACTATTATATTATATGCAAGTCTTAGACAATCATCAAAGCTGTTTACAGGTTCAGAAACTGACATATAAACAAATATATAAACATCTTAGACTATCACCAAAGCTGTATACTGGTTCAGAAACTGAAGGGAAACTATTATATTATATGCAAATCTTAGACAATCATCAAAGCTGTTTACTGGTTTAGAAACTGACGTAAAGAAATATGCAAATCTTAGACAATTATCAAAGCTGTTTACTGGTTCAGAAACTAAGGGAAAACAAATATATATGCATATCTTAGACTATCACCAAAGCAGTATACTGGTTCAGAAACTGACGTAAAGAAATATTATGCAAGTCTTAGACAATCATCAAAGCTGTTTACAGGTTCAGAAACTTTTAGTTTAGTTTTAGTAGAGGTCTTACGGCGCTCGCAACTGCATAAGGCCATATGAGCGCGTTCAGAAACTGACGTAAAGAAATATATGCAAGTCTTAGTCAATGACCAAAGCTGTTTGCTGGTTTAGAAACTGAGCGGAAACAAATATATGTAAATCTAAGACTATAACCACAGCTGTTTAGTTTTTCAACAAATATATGCAAATCTTAGACAATCCTCAAAGCTGTTTGCTGGTTCAGAAACTGAGGGGAAACAAATATATATAAACATCATAAGACAATCACCAACACTGTCTGCTGGTTCAGAAACTGACGAAAACTATTGCATATGCAAGTCTTAGACTATCAACAAAGCCAACTCAAAAACAAGAAACGCAAGCAAAAGCCTAGGAAAGGGGCATACACAAGTAAAGGTATTGCCTCCATCATCCAAATAAAACAACGCACAGGATTTACCACAAAATAATGTTAGCATCTAAGTGAGTTTTATTGATCATTTAAAACAAAAACAAAAAAAAGGAACAACACCCCCCCCCCCCCCCAACCCCCACCAATCAGAAGTACAATAATAAAGCACAGCGTTCAACGGTTATGAAATACAGAAGTTCAGTGGTACAGTTTTACAGTAATCTTCCCGGGAGAGAGAGAGAGAGAGAGAGAGAGAGAGAGAGAGAGAGAGAGAGAGAGAGAGAGAGAGAGAGAGAGAGAGAGAGAGAGAGAGAGGGAGGGAGGGAGTGAGGGAGGGAGGGAGGGAGGGAGGGAGGGAGGGAGAGAGAGAGAGAGAGAGAGAGAGAGAGAGAGAGAGAGAGAGAGGAGAGAGTCAGAGAGAGAGACAAAGAAAGAGGAAGATAGAGAGAGAAAGAGAGAGTCACAAAGAGAAAGAGAAAAGAGAGACAGAGAGAGAGATAGTCAGAGAGAGAGAGAGAGAGAGAGAGATAGTCAGAGAGAGAGAGAGATAGTCAGAGAGAGAGAGAGAGAGAGAGTCAGAGAGAGAGTCAGAGAGAGACAGACAGAGAGAGTCAGAGAGAGACAGAGAGAACCATTCAACCTCATCCACACAGGACCTCTCACCTTGCAAATCTCCGGCAACAAGAGCTTCACATACATGGTTTCATCCAGTCGTGTTGTGTCTTTGGGTTGCTAAAATATGATAAAAATATTATTAACAACAATAATACTAATAACAACGACAATGATGGTGTCAATAAAGAGAAATTTTTTAATTTTAAAAAAATTAAAGTAGAGGTTTTTACGGCGCTCGCAACTGCATAAGGTCATATGACCGCCAAGGGGTGGGTGTCAACAGAGAAGTCTTTACAGGGAATCAGACTTAGACTGCTCACCTCTCTAGCTTCAACAGCACAAGGTCTGCTTCGACTATCAAGGCACCCCAAAAGAGCAGGTCACAAGAGAGTGACAAACATACAAAAGAAGTAGAGAAAAAAATGACAATAGTAAGGATCAGGAAAGAAAAAGCAGCAGTTCCCTGTTGTAGATCAGGCACAGTTATGAGCGTGACATGAGTCAGCCCATTTACAATTCTACTGTGCTTGAACGAGATATGTCTCGCCATTTGGGAATGGCCTAAAGACACTTCAGTCGGTGGCACTGCCCTGGGGGGTATAAAGAGATGATGATGATTATGATGATGATGATGATGATGATGATGGTGATGATTATGATGATGATGATGATGATGATGATGATGAGGAAGAGAAAGAGGAAGAAGATGTTACTGCAGCTGTTGCCCATGACGACGATGACAAAGGTGATGATGGAAATCATAAAAGCTGGGAGGAGTGTGATTCCTAGCAGGGCAAGTATCTATTTCTTTAGTTCTTCCAACATGTTCATGCCCCGCGCTACTGCCCTTCAACCCCCTCCTCCCTTCCCCGATGTTCCTTCCCCCCCACAAAAAAGGGCACATACTACACTACGATGCTTCCTCTTTTGTCTACCAGAAGAGATACTCAAGACTTGTTTGTTTTTGTTTGGTTTGGGTAAAGAGAAAGCACACCAACACAATAATGGTCAGTTAGTGCTGGGAAAAAGTAAGACATGTTTGTTTGAGGAAAGAGAAGCACATCTACAAAATAATGGTCAGTTAGTGCTGGGAAAAAGTAAGACATGTTTGTTTGAGGAAAGAGAAAGCACACCAACACAATAATGGTCAGTTAGTGCTGGGAAAAAGTAAGACATGTTTGTTTGAGGAAAGAGAAGCACATCTACACAAAAATAACCACACACAATAATAACGGTCGTTTCGAGCAGGAGGAAAAGTCAGACAGACAGACAGAAAGACAGACAGACAGACAGACAGACAGACAGACAGACAGACAGACAGACAGACAGACAAACAGAAACAACAGAGCGCAAGTAAAGAAGTAGGACCTACCAGTGGTGCCTCTCCAAACACCCGGCAAGAGATATTCAGAAGAGAAACTAAGCAAAGATACTCAGAAGAGATACTCAGAAGAGATTCTCAGCCGAGATACTCAGAAGAGATACTCAGAAGAGATACTCAGAAGAGATACTCAGAAGAGATACTCAGAAGAGATACTCACAGAGTTGAGAACTTGCTTCAGTGTGTCCAGGATGATGAGTTGCGACTCCAGATAGTTCCTCTCTGCCTCGGGACGGTTCACTTTCTGCAAGGGGAGAATCAATATATAACAGACAATAAATAACAATGTTGGAGAATCCATAAATAACAGATAATTATAATTAATAACAATGTTGGAGAATCCATAAATAACAGACAATAAATAACAATGTTGGAGAATCCATAAATAACAGATAATTAATAACAATGTTGGAGAATCCATAAATAACAGATAATTATTAACAATGTTGGAGAATCCGGAGAACCCATAAATAACAGATAATTAATAACAATGTTGGAGAAGCGATAAATAACATATTATTAATAACGTTTCCTTTTACATTTCTCAGCAGTTCACTTTCTGCAAACAGAATCCATAAATGGTCGCCTTTAAGGACAAGCGGGCTAACTCAGATTTCAGGGGTTTCCAGAAATCTTGACCAACACCATAAGTGGGCATTGCCCTACATAAAACAGGAGAAGTTTGGTTTCATTGGTGTGTATATTTGTTTGGAAAACTCTCGTCTTTTAAAGAAACTGAACAAGGGACAAAAACTTTATCTTCTATTTTCTCAAAACAGCATTTTTCAGGATAGCCCTCTTGTGCTTGATTGGGTAGATGTTTTACAGGACTATTGACACAATTTTGGTCATTTAAGCGCCAACAGGTTTCACCGCTACAAAATCAGACGTGTTTTTAGTAAGAGTCTTTCGGAGCTCGCAACCGCACACGATCACAGTATTTTCATTATGCTAAAAAGACGAACAAACATTTATAAAAATGTTTTGTAAATATGGAAAAGGCTTATTATTTACATTTGTATATACAATATTAATTTCAGTGTATGTATATATACACCGATAACGATAACTATATATTTTCATATTCTATTAAATAGTCCAATTTCTTTTATATAACTTAAAATTTTTCTAGGGTCTACGATGTCAAAAAGGGTCTTTAAAAGCCCTCTTGTGCTTAAAAGCGACCAAATAATGGATAACCCACAGAAAGTACTTCACGTTTTCACTCCTCGGCATGAGCATCTCTACTGCTCATTAGTTTAGTATAGTAAGAGCTTTACGACACTTGCAATACAATACATAATAATATAAGTGCAAAAGATTAGAGGTGTTGTTACAAGAGAGAAGCAAACACAAAAAAGAAGGAGGGGAGATAAAGACAATAGGTGTTCGATAGGAGAGAAGGAGCAAACCACACCACGGCACTCGCCAACCACCCACCAACTGCTCATTAGACCAACAGCAGGGTCTGCTTAAACCGAACAAGGATAATCCAAAACAGTGATAAACCGAAAGAAGAGAAAATTCCTGATTTTTTTTTTCTCTTTCATTTGAGCAACCTCTCTATACTTTAAAAAAATGGCTTAAACCAAAGAGAAGCCAGAGGTCCCGCAGATTTTGGTTAAAGCCTGTTTGTTTGTTTAAGTAAAAAGAAGCATGATGACACACTTTAGTTTTAGTAAGTGTTTTACGGCACTTGCAACACAATAAGGTCATATAAGCGCCGAAGATTAGAGGTGTTACAAGAGCAGAATAACATACACTAAAAAGAAGGAGAGATTTAAGGACGACAGCTGTTTGATGGGAAAGAGGAGCAAACCACACCAGACCACCCGCCAACCACCCACTGACACAATTTAACTGTCATTTAGCAATGGGGAAAAACAAGACACAGACAGAAATAACAGAGGGAAAGTAAATAAAGAAGTACAACCAAAGAGTGGCGCCCTCTATGCACCCTGCCTGCAATGGGCCATGAAGCAACATAAAAATAGAAATTGATCAAGAAAAAAAGGAAGTAAAAGAGTCAATGACTACTGAACCATACAAAACTTACACGTAACACAGATCTTATATATACGTACATTTAATGCACATTTCATGGTTGGTCAGTGAAGCATTATTCAACACCAGGGTTACATGCTCTTTTCAAGGCTTTTTCAAAAAGATCCTCGCTTCATTCTAAAGCACTTGGGGGAACCCGCTCCAGATTCATAGCCACGGAACTGTTGTTGCGCAGAACTGGAGAACGCTTTTTTTTTTTCTTTTCTTTTTTTCGAGAGTTTTACGGCACTTGCAACATAATAAGGTCATATAAGTGCTGAAGAATAGAGGTGTTACAAGAGAGTAACAAACACAAAAAAAGAAGGAGGGGAGACAGATAATATAGATTTTTTATAGGAAAAAAGGAACAAACCACACCAGAGCACCCGCCAACCAACCACTCCGATACTGAGGAGAGTTTATCTCTACCACTACCACTCTCTCCACAGTCAGTGATCAGAGGCTCTGGGTGGGCCGTCCCAGCAGGGAAAGGTTTTTAGTTTTACTACGTGTTTTGCGGCACTTGCAACACAATAAGGTCATATAAGTGCCGAAGAAGAGATGTGTTACAAGAGAGTTTAGTCTAAGTAAGAGTTTTACGGCACTTGCAACCCAATAGGGTCATATAAGTGCCGAAGAAGAGATGTGTTACAAGGGAGTAACAAACAAAAAAGAAGGATGGGAGATAGAGAAGATAGATGTTTTATAGGAGAGAAGGGGCAAACCACATCAGAGCACCCGCCAATCACTCACAAGGAAAAATAAGGACGATAGATGTTTTATAGGAGAGAGAGAAGCAAACCACTCCACAGCACCCGCCAACCACTCACTCTGATACTGAGGAGAGTTTATCTCTATCTCTACCACTCTCTCTATAGTCAGTGATCAGAGGCTCTGGCTGGGCAGTCCCAGCAGGGAAAGGTTCTTAGTTTTACTACGTGTTTTGCGGCCCTTGCAACACAATAAGGTCATATAAGTGCCGAAGAATAGATGATTTTTAGTTTCAGTAAGAGTTTTACGGCAGTTGCAACACAATAAGGTCATATAAATGCCGAAGAATAGATGTATTACAAGAGAGTAACATACACAAAAAAAAAGGAGCAGAGATAAGCAGACCACACCAGAGCACACACCAACCACCCACTCTGATAATGCGGAGAGTTTATCTCTATCTCTGCCACTCTCTCTACAGTCAGCGATCAGAGGCTCTGGGTTGGCCTTCCCAGCAGGGACAGGATAGCAGGCTCCTTACACAACAGCCAGATATATACCAGATAGCATCATCAGACAAGCCCAGGCCAAAGCCCCAAGCCTGAGAGGCTGAGAACGATGCAGCACGATGCTGCGGTGATCGTGTGCGACTTGACAAGACAAGGTCACTGATAGCGCGTGCTGGGAGCCGTAAACCAGAGAAAACGTGCAGTAAACTCAAGACTCAGACATCATCAAACCACTTGGGATTTAGTAATACCACAGTCTGCACAACTTCACAATCAAAGGTAAGCAAGCAGAGCTTTTTCTAAATTATATTGTTTTATTAATTTAATCTATCTATCAAACAGCATCACATCTGTTCTATCTATCTATCTGTCTATCTATCTGTCTACCTCACTCTAACAGCACTATTATAATTAACTTGTATCTCTGTGAATCTCATGTCGGATCTCTCTACACCAACACAGACATACAGAAAGGTGTCATACCATAATCTGCAGGCCACCGTCAAGGTCAGTAGTTCACCTAATTTTGTGACACCAGATACTGCAATATGGGCTCTTCATTATAATGTTTTTATTTTGTGTTTAAAGAAACAGACTCTTATATTGAAGTTCAGAAAATAAAATTGCACGTAGATTATAATTCCATTGTGTCATATATACAGTGAAAACACTTTAAATGTACACCACTCTCTGATGTACACTACATCACAACTGGAATTTTTTTTTAACCATTGTCATAAAATCAACAAAAAATATTTCAGCCACAATGAAGAGACAATGACATGAAAAATTTTGCCACCTTTTATATTACTATTATAGATACTTATTACTTGCCTGAGTACATACAGAGTTTCTACATTCACACATAGCCCTGCACAACTTCAAATAGAGAACTGACCAGGTGTGTGTGTGTGAGTGTGTGTGTGTGGGGGGGGGGGGAGAGAGACACTTTCTCAAAGTCAACAGCCCTGAGCTGGATTCAATTACATAGAGGTAGCTCAGCACTGTAATAACATACACAGGGATATAGCATTTTTATTATAAACATATTTTGAGTTTTTGAGTGTCAGTTAAAAGAAATACATCGAGCTAAAATAATGGTCATTTAGAGCTGGGAAAAGCAAGAAAGACAGAGAAAAACAAAAAAGAGGGAATGTAAAAAAAAAATAGGGGGGGACCTAACCAGTGTGCCCCACCCAAGGGAGAGTTCACATGTCAGCCAGTAATAATGACACTTTAAAGACTTTGTTGTATGTGCTGCTTTTGATTATTACTCGAATTACTGACATTTTCTGATAGCATATATATCAACTGCTTTGCTAGGGTAAAAAGATACTCACAAACTTGGCAAGATAGTGACCGCCAATATAGCTACCTTCTGGGATAAGATTTTTTTTTAATGTGTAATTATGCTTTAGTGGTCTAGATCAGGTCACCAAAAAAGTAAAAGAGGCCACAGCACAAATACACTCTACACTCTCATCCCTTTTCTTTTTGGGAAGTGTTTGGAGGGAGGAAAGCACCTCTGGCAAGTGGTGAGAGGGTTCACCTATACTATAGACCAGATGGACACACTGTAAGGACAGAAAATCAAAATAATAATTCCATGGACAAGAAAAAGAGGCTGGAAAGAGATCTCTTTTGAGCACTGACTGACTTTGCTAATGTTTTCAGATGAAGGAACGGAAACAAAAAGAACAGTCTATAGTTTCAGTGTCCATGATAAAACGAGACATAGCATCTTCTAACGGAGTGACTCAGACATCATTCATCCAGAACGGAAAAGTGGAACACACAACTAAGACAAAATCCAGTAAGTACAATATTTTTTTGTTTACACTATGTACCAGAAGAATACATTTCAGAACTATACTTGTGAGAGCAGAAACAATTGCACAGAGCCCTTCAGCAGAGGTGCCAAGCGACAAAAAAATCCTAAACTTTTCAGAACGTGTGGAAAAGCATGGGCAGAGACTCAAAATTTACAGATCATATTGTCTGATACAGCTTGTATCAGAAGACAATTTTTACATATACAGTGCAATATTCCTGTAATTCCAGAAACCCATTTTTCAGTATTTATTCAGAAAATCGGCACCTCGGCTTGAGAGCATAAGAGCACCATGAACATCAAAGCTCTAATCAAATCAGATCCTTGCAACAACAGTCTCCACTCACTTCATTTTATCAAGTTTTTACTCAAAAAGAAACTACCTGCCTTCAGCATTTCGGAATACTATTACCATATATACATCTATATATTCAGATCTCATAAAATCCCAACAAGCGGAGCAATTCAAACTGCAGGTTCGATGGTGATGTACCAGGAAGATATGGGTATATGAAGAGTTAAATTGTCAGTGCAAACTATTTTTTTACCTCAGTTTTTAGTAGAGGTATATAATGCAATCTTCTTTATCATATTATATATATAGATGTGCACTCTATTAAATGTTTAGTTTCTATTGTCCCTCCCCAAATGCATGCAAGTGGTAAGTGGTGCTAGTGAAAGATATAGAGAAGCAATATTGTTTATGATTTACATATATTGATTTCAAAAGATGTTTGGCAAAACTTTACCCAGCCCAAAGTGGTTTTTATTTCATTCTTCTTTCAGACAAGATTTAAAACCTTTCTCAACCACGTCCAAGTTATGTTTTAGGCACAATATCAGCAAACACTTCTTGTCAAATGTATACATTATCGTTTGCTCGTTTTATCGTTTGCTAGTTTGCTAGCCACAGAACAAATTCTTTTTCACAGGCCACAAAGCACCTTAAAAAACTGACATCGAAACACTTTACTATTTTACTATCACACTAATCATACACATACTCGAAAGTCACTGTTGCAAAGCTGCCAACTTTTCAAAACCAAAAAACAGAGTCTACCAACACAGCTGTTCAAGACGGTGGGCATTGGGGCATTGGCCAAGTAACTCCTCCTCAAACCTTTTTCATACTGTTTTTGCATTCAATAAATTCAAGCTATTCAAAGTGGTCCTGCAGCAAAAGATCACTCCAGTTGACATCTGGGCTTCCTTCTCATTATTATCCTCGCAAATCAGGTTTTGAAAGTTTCTAATTTTTCTTCTGCATCAACAATTACGTGGGGAGCAATATTAGAAAAAAAAAGAATACATTTTTCCCAATTTTAAAGGATTTCTGCACTCAGATCCTTATGAACTTATGAAATATATTTGAGGCAGAATGGTGAAATTAGGTACAATAATGAAATTAGGTGCTCGTCAAACTATCATAAAAGAAAACAGCATTTCTATTCAAGATAGGTTGGTATTTTTTTTCGTCAAATGCAAGACAACTGAACAATCACCAATAACTCCATAAATGTCCAAAAATGTACAAGCGCCTGATTCCACTGCATCGTGACACATATTTACACACTTTACTGCATTGTTGGCAGCTTTGCACTTGTGAATGACCGCACAGACACACACACAGACACGCACAAACAAAGACACACTGGAAGCACTTACAAACTGCAGAACACTCTGTAAAGTTTTGGTGAGTCCGTTGATGACGAGCGAGAACTTGTGTTTGCTCACATTGACCAAACATTCCTTGTTCTGCTTCACATTCTGCATGGACTGGGTGGTGTGCAGGCCCGTCTTGATGGGTAACTGTGAAATTTATTATAATGAGAAGGTGAAACTTTACTGTAAGCACGAAAGCACAAAAACATGACACTTATCATCAAGCACAGCTGAACATCAGACACCACAAAAGAAAGACTTTCTATTCAAAACCTCAACTAACTAGCTAAAAAATTGACCAAAAAATTTACACTTTCTAACATGACCTACATAAAATGACGTCTTTTCAGAACAGCTGTAATAAGATAAGATCACACTGTCTACCCCCAGATCATCCCCTCACCCTCTTTTTCCCATCAAAATGTGCAACACTGACAAAAACAAGCACAATAAGTCTCTTACAACTGAGTAACAACCTGCACCCAGTTGACATTACAAAACCAATATATATTCCCCTTAAATAACCCTCACACAAATGATCCCTATTTCATAGGTTCACCCCAGTTCAGAATGCAGCATCCCATGCCACTTTGTACAGCAGTCAATTTTTTTTCTAAATACTTTGGGAAATTATATCTTCCCAAGAGGAAATCAAAATCTTTAACTGCTACTGTTGAATGATAAAAACAGTCTTTTTATAGCAAAAAAACATTTAAAAACACCTGTAAACAGTTTCATCAACACCATTTCATAAAGATACCATGATCTTACAACCAGTCTTTTCCCCAGAGCGCGCCTTTTAGCACAGATCAAAAATCGCAAAGGGGAACTGAGAATAAGAGAAGGGGCCAGTGGGGCGCGCTGTGATGAGAACTTTTATTTCGGCTGATTATCTTAGATCTGTTGCAAATAAAAGGCGATGACATTTTTATCAACCGCGATCGAATTGCGGAAGGTAGGCCTATCCTAGATACAAGACTTACTGTTGAACTAAATTCCAGACTTTGGCCCTGCCTTTGTTACAACACTAGGCTAGGCCAGGCTTTGGCAGGGCGGGCCGAGATTGGGCTTCAATCATAGTTCATGCGGTTTCTTCGAAAAGTAGGATCGGCAGAGGGTCTCTTGGATCGGCCCAGGCACGATGTGAAACCAAAAAGACTAGTTGAGTACCTGGCAGTATCGCTTTTTTAACCTATATCTATCGGTATTTGATGTCGTTGCTGCTTTTCCGATGTGCTTTCATTTGCCGTTCATTTGCCGCACTCTTCTATTTTCGTGTATGTTCTTTTAAATGAAAGAACGTGCAACAAATTTGCAAGAAATAAAACTTGCCTTGCTTCACTTCGGCTACATAGATTTGGAATCGATTCCGGAGTCAGAACTCGCAAATATGCCCAAGAGTTCGACCAGAAATGGTTCAACATGGTGTATGCGGCAGGGCTGCCAGATGGCCACGGGCGTGGCCAAAATGCCCGAAAATTGGCCAACATAGAAAATTGCTGGGCCACGACGAAATTGCTTGGCCACAGATCTAAATGTACTTTCTCCGAGACAAGTCGATTTTTTTTTAAATCAAAACTGATGAGTTTTCATAGTGTTAGTTGTGTTTGGCCATGTGAGGTTCTATTTTGGCCACTTTTAAAGTCGAAACTGGCCATCTGGGAGCCCTGGTTCCCGAGTTCACGGTTACCGAAACTGAAACACATGGGGCATGCATTGTTGTCTACGCATAGAAAGCCAGATCTATAACATGCATATTTTGCTATTCAACCTTTGTTGCTTTACATTATAGGGAAGGGCCCCACATAAAAACTCAAACGGCCCACTTGAATTGGATTTGGGGGCCCGAACTCTATCAATAACCTGGGGAAAACACTGCACAACTGTGGCTCTCTCCAAGGATTGCTACAACCTGTAGTATGAATCATAATTCTTTTGATGACATTTTAACCCTATCCGTATGTTGTGTTTTACGACACGATGTGGGGAACTCTGTGCCACCACTTTCCAAAGAGAAAATTTACTCGTTATTCCGATCCATACACTTTGCACGCAGTCTGTTAAAATGATTTTTTGAGAAATACTAATTTCAAGCTTCAAAGAGATCTTCGTACCAGAAGTATTCTAAAATGTGCAGAATACAACCCTGGGGGAACAAAATGACCCGAGGGCGAACCGATAGAGTCAACAATTTTTTCAACAGCAGAATGAGAGAGAAAGAGAGAAAGATACAGAGAGAAAGATACAGAGAGAGATACAGATAGAGAGAGAGAGAGAGAGAGAGAGAGACAGAGAGAGAGAGAGAGAGAGAGAGAGAGAAAGAGAAAGAAAAGAGAGAGGGGGGGGGAGAGAGATGGGGGGGGGCAAAAGAGAGAGAAAGAGCTCACATAGTGGAGAGATACATGAATATTATACGGATATATAAAACAGAAAATTTAAAGGAACCACACATCCCTTTGGGGTGCACGAAAGGGGTATGAATGGTAGTTATATTAGCATTGAAATCATGTAAAGGGGGTAGAGTAGAAAGAGTTGTGTAGGATTCAGAGAGTATGTGTATGGTTTTGACATCCTCCAAAAGCACCATCCCGACTCTCTAATTAGAGGAGGCAATTTTAATATAAATAAATTTGTGAGGGAGTGTTGTGTAACCAAAAAAAAAAAAGAGCCTCATCCCCCTAAACATAATTATACATGCTTGATGGGTACTGGGATTGCTCATAAAAGCTGTCAATATAAAATGTATCCTTGCCTTGCAACTTGCTATGACCCAAGTGAAGGTGCTCTGGCTTCTTCAAACCACTGAACAAAGATAATTTAAGAGTAAGAGAGGTGAACCTTGATTAACATTCTGTTTTGTCTGGTGGACTCCCAACACTTAATCAACCTATTCTAGGTCCTGACCTTTTATCTCAAAGACTAGAGCAGAATAATCTCAAACTAGACAGGTGACTAGTCTGGATATAGAAACTCAACCATAATAAATGATAATACTAAATCTGAGTATTTTGTTCATAATTTTTTGGACGTAACCTATTCAAGGCATTCAAGGCGTTAAATTATAAAACCGTAACAAAGGCCTACAAGGGTAATAATGCCATACTGCAGCGTAAAAGCTGTCAATTTGGAAGCTTTGAGACTGTAAAACGGGCAAATTTGAGTTTAGGGAGACCAGCAAACGATATGAGCTGCGCCTGACAAGGGCTCAATGAGTGGCGTAATCAAGTCCGAGTCCCTGGCTTTCGCAGCCCTTGGCTATAAGTTCATTCATAAAATCGGCTTCGAATCTCAGGCCTGCGACCCAGCAGTCGACGAACTCAGGACGAGGTCACATACACCTGTGGCAATAACAGAAACAGCTTCCTGTTTGTAGAACGTTTCGCCTTCAATGCAATATATATTACAAAGTTTATACACTTACCTGTGCATCAAATCGTGCTATGAGTGAATTCACCCATTCCCCTAGCTTCTGTGTTGCCATTTTTTAGGTGAATTTCCATCGACTACACGATCGCCATATTCCTTATTTTCATTTATGCTACGCATGCGCACACGAGGGTGATGTCGATTTACTGTAAACTAGCGAATGGACCGCAGTTCCTCTATAGTTTGTGATCAATTTTTGCTCCTTTTTCTCTTTGACTGTTGTTTTGTAGGTTAAATATGCATGCAGTTCCGAGCATATGTATTTCTCTCATAAAATAGATTCTTGGCAATAATATTATACATATACAATGAGGAATACACTTTAATAAAGGCGAATTTAAAAGTACAACATAATTATGCCTCGTCGATCGCTTACCCCTAGTATAATATTATAGCGGGGATAAAACAGCTGCCCAGATTATTCACGAAGTTTCCTCCAAGTTACCTTGTGTTTTGTTTTTTATATTGTAATGTTAACCTTCAAAATAACCATAAAAGGCACTGTTAGTGTCCCTTGCTCGTATTTAGAGACGCAACAAAATAAAATGACCCGTATCGATCGATAGCAATTGGGGGTTAAAATTTGACACCTTACTGTATTCCATATTTGGGAGGAACGTTTCCCATGGTTGGTGACATCATTCCATCAATCAACGCGGGACTGCGCGCGACACTTTCCTTTGAAGCTTTCTGTGAATGCAGCAGAAGCCATCGCGTTGACACAGCAGTTCCATCTTACACTCGCAGTCCACCCATGGCTCATCGGCTTGCAACCTGCCGCCTAAATGGGAAATCGCTGCTAGCAGTGCTAGGAGGAACAAAGGAAAACACTGGTTAAAAGAATCAAAGCATTTCGCTAAATCAAAAGGAAATCAGCTGCACTACTGAGCCAGGTCTCGGGGAGAGGGGGG